TGTGGTCTCTGAATGCAGAGGAAAGAACTTGCATTTCAGCAAAAGAAATGCAAAAGGGAAGGAATTGGGTGGCGTGACTTACCAGATGGCTAGGATCTCTTTTTTTGGCTAACATGCAAGCTGTTTTGTTGCAAATAAAAAATACACAGTAAATCACACTGAACAATTAAGTCAGGGCTAACTACTCAATCATCAGGCCTGGCAAGGTACAAAGCCCTTCATAGGTGCAAAGCATGTCCCCATTGTGGAAAGTGATCGTTGGATTTGAAGCAGAGTCTGTGGAAGGAGTATTTTTCTCTGCGTAGAACTGCTGTGTGTCTCCATCATCTCTGTCGCTGAGGGGCTAACAGCTGGGCTGTGGAGTCAGACAGCCGCCTCGCATTCTGGTCCTCCTCTTCTCCAGCTGGGTGACCTTAGGCAAGTTACTTTTCCTATGTGAGTCCAGGTCTCCTCACCTGTGAAATGAAGTGAAATAAATAAGGTGACATGGTCATTCTATGGCACCGGGTGTGATACTGTATGTGACATGCACTACTGTAATGATGGTAACGTAGGAGAATGTCAGTGTCTGGTACCCAGCAGGCTCAGTAAATGCTGCCTGTGTCAGGGAAGGACCTGGGCCCGGGTGAAGGAAGAGTGGCTGCATTAGCCATCAGATAGAGAAAAAAGCAAGCAGAGGTCAGAAAGAAGCCAGGATGCAAATCAGGAGGATACAAACTGACTGCCGAGTCGTGGCACCGGGCTTTAAATCAAGATGGTGATAGAAAGATAACCCCCTACCCTTAAAGACCCGGACCCAAGAAAAGCACGTGTGAATACGCAATAGCTTCATAGATGAGTGTTTTTGGCTGGTCAAAGAGCTACCCTGAGATGGCCACAGTTTTCCCCTTGCCGAGCTGCTGACCAGGTCAGGTGCGTCACTCATGGGAAAGGAGAACCTTATTTCTGTCCTTACTTCTGTCACCCGAGTCCATGATTCTGGAGGTGAAGGAGGATATTTACTCTGATTGTCCAGAGGAAGAGCTCCATTCTACAAAATGGTCAAAGCAGTCAGCAAGTGATGGACTAGCTCTTAAAAAGAAACCTGGCATTTAATTAACTTTTCAGAGTGCTGGTTCAGCATGGTCCGAGCTGTACATTTTGCATATTGAACGAGCATCTCTAATCGGGTCTGCACTGCCCCGGCCTGCCAGGTACAAGCATGAGGGACTCTGTGGACAGCCATCTCAGGCACACAGGCTTCACTGAAGGCCACTCAGGCCCCTGATCATTTCCTCACCTCAGCCTTTAGGTCAAGTGCAAGTTCATTGACGCTTCAAGGGAAAAATGTATAGAAGTCAGAAGGAAAATGCAGATAGGTTTCAGTTTCACTGCTTAGCAACTGCACTGTTCAGCCTGATACCTGAAGTAAGGTGAAGGCAGTGATTCTGATAGTTGTGACTGGGGCTCACTTGTAGAAATTACTGCCTTTGGGGACCTAGCACATGTACATGGCAAAACTTCCCAGGTTTGATTTCTGTTGTGCACCCCTGGTAAAGAACTACCTGTTTAAAGGATTCTCTCTAGCTTTCACTTCTCTGTGCCATCTATCGCCTTCCGTAAGAAGAGACTGTCTGCACAGGAAATCTAAACAGATTTCTGGGTACCCTCAGGATGTAAGGAAATCAGCTGAGGTCTGCTTCGAAAAGGCCTGGGGTAATGCGTGTGGGACTGAGGGTGAGAGTCCGGATGCAGAGTCTGGTTTCAGCGTCATCCTTAACGAGCCCTGTGATTTGGGGGAAGCCTAGGCGGCAGTGCCAAATGTCCTGGAGTGTAAATGGTGCTGCTAAAACTGCTTCGCTTCTTTTTGAGAGGTCAACTGAGACAGTACTGACGGGTGTGACAGTCTTTGGAGACCACTGAGAAGTGCTCTTGTGCAGTGGTCTCCCCTGAACTATTATGACCATCACCAGGTTCCCAGGCCTCTGGGAGCCACATCCGAGGAAGACGGCTCAAGGCCCCTGTGTGCAGGAGTAGACAGAAAGCCCAGGGCTGCGCTGACCACACCTGCGCAGATTGTCTGCCATGGTGCCAGGGCCAGACCACATGGGCCTCGGTTTCCTCCGAAGTTGGCAAGTACCGTGTGTGCAAGGAAGGGTTGACCGAGGACCCACAGTTTTTTCCCCTCAATCTTTGTCCCCAAAGTCTGTGGAAGGCAGGATCTCAGCACCAGATCCTCTGGTTACCCACTCTGGTCAGCTGCAGTAAACCACTATGTTTTAGGTTTTTGTTTCTTTGCTTGTTTTTAACCTCTCAGTAGTAATTTTAAAACACATCCTATATTATGATGGGTTGTATGTATGTATAAGACTGAAAACCAAAGCTTATGTAATACCCTGTTTGCATTATTTTCTATGCTGTAAAAAAAGAGGAAAGGGGGGAAAAAAAAGTGCTGGTGGTAATCTTCTAAATTCACTTCATGACTCACTAATAGATCATGACTTGTAGTTTAAAAAACACTGCTAGATCTTCTGTATCCTGAGCTCTAGGTCACTGTGCTTCCTGAGGTGCCTTTGGGGGCCAAGCAGATGAAATAAATGCGTGAAATGGGGTTTTATTTTATACTATATTCCTGAAACACATATGAGTTATTTGCATATTCACATTTCTTTAAAGAAACACATTCCCTACCAGTTCTCTAAGATATGCCTTCCACTTCATCTACCTTTTGTTTTCTTACACTTGGTATCCGTCTAGCTCATCTCCTGGCTCCTGTAAGAAAACCAGCAGTGTAGGCTCAGTGATTCAGACCAAGACCTGGGCCTGGCAGAAGGAAGCCCCGGAGAGTGTGGAGCTCAGGCTCCTCAGCAGCAAGCCCAGAGTTACCAGGCCTTTTGTCAGAAGAATCTAGAAATCTGGACTTTGGTACAGAATCTCCCAACTTGAACAGTGAACTCATGTTAAGTAAAATAAGCTGGCCCAGAATACTCATTTACAGGCTGGAGTAGGCCTGGATCCGCAGCAGAGGCTCCATCCCGCCCTGCAGAAGGCACCCCAGAATCTGTTATTTCTGGCAGAGGGAGAGAGAACACACCACCTGAGGGCATCCCTGCTGCCCATCCTCAAGCGTGCCATTTTGATCTCTTCCTTCCTCCATGGAGAGAAATGAGAGCGGGGAGTCCCTGGGCTCCCCCAGAGGAAGGGAGAGCAGGATGTAGGCTCCACAGCAATTAAGCTGAATATTAAACTCACCCCCTTTTTGGATGTTGAGTGGATAATGGCAATTAAGCAGCCTCCCCCCAAAGATTAGCACTAGCATTATTGTTTCTTTCAGAGATGAGTACATCTCCTGTACAAATGAAATCTCTGGCCTAGGCTCCCTATCCTCTGTGTCCTGCTTGTCTTCTCTTACCCTCCATCCAGGCACTTCTGTTGGTAGTATACTGGCTGAGTCATTTGGACAGTGGTGCTGAGGTGTTTAACTTCATGAGAACAGTTAGAAGCAGTGGTCCTAAGGCACAGCAGGAGCTAAGACAAGAGTCTTCCATCCTCCACACAGGAGGTGACTTGGCAGCTCTGGAGTATTCATTACTCTGCCTTCAGCTTGAGGTAGACACTAGGATCCCGCGTTACCTAGCAACGCCACGGTGGTGCCGCCCAGGCTTCCTGTTGTACTTCCCCTGGCTTACCTTCCCCGCCCCTTGTCCTACTGCCCTTTTACCCGCTGCTCAGTCTCCTGCCTTTGAGAGCCACAGCTGCAGCCTGCGAGGTCTCCCTGTTCTTCCGACTTCACTACCTATTCTCTTTCCATCTTCACTTCAGCCGTCATTTTCTATTTATTGTAAATGGTGCAGTTGATATAGTCTAAACTTCATGAAAAGTAATGTTTTAAACTTGAGCTTAATTTTATTTTATTTTTTGACTTTTTTGATTAACAAAAATTAATTTATACTTAGACTCTTGAGAAGTTATTTACATCTTGCAGGAGTTGATGGTTGACTCTGATCCAGCTCTTACTGGTGAGGTCTGTGGACCGCACTGTCGAAGGCCTTCCGTGCATCCTGCCTTGGGGCTGTTATGATAATGATATTGCTCATCATGGTGCCAAGTTCTGACTCCAGAGAACTCATTTCAAACAAAAACAACTCTGTTATAGTGGGCATTTTCAGACATGTAGAAATATCAGCACCATGTGCCCTGCACCCAACTTTAATCATCATCAACATTTTGCCAGTCTTACTTAGACTTTTTTTTTTCTTGGTATTTTGAGACAGTCTCACTGTGTAGTCCCGGCTAGGCTAAACTCACAGTGGTCCTCCTGCCTCAGCCTCTCAGAGTACTGGGATTCTGGGCGTGTGTTGCCATGCCTGGAATTTAGAGGTTTTATCAGTGTTTCTCAGTGAGTCAGTAGTGACATGATACCGATTAGAAGTCAGTGGAAATCTGTTTAGAATGAGTAGTCCTGGGCTCTCTTACTTACTGCTGGGCCTAGCAGCCTGCAGGTCAGAAGTGTGAGAACTGCTGCTTCAGGTACAGGTGGGTCAAGCAGATGTTCTGTTCTCATGCAGTGTCTCAGGGCTCACTCCGCACCCAGCACTGCTCTCGGCATCTCTGGTCCTTCACGTGGATAGCTCAGAAGAACAGTTGCTCGGCCTGCGCTGGAGCTTTTCCTCCTGGAAAGCTGCACATGTTGACAACTGATACTACCAGAGACCCAGAGCATCGTCGTAAAAGGGTGCTTTACCGGTGGGCCAGTTAGGTGTCTAAGGAGGGCACCATATCATTTGTGTCGGTTTAAGTTTCTTGTTCATCCTAACAGTGTAAAATCTGGAGTTGTGCTGGAGGAAGGTGCTAAGAAGGCACTGTGGTGTATGCAGTCCCCTCCTGCTGGGTACAGGTCTTGGGCAAATACAGATTTGGGATGCATTTAGCTGCCCCTGCATTTGAAACCCTTTCTTAACGCATTACCCCAATATATGAGCTGTGCGGTTTTTTATAAACTGTGTCTTTTTATTTTTCAGGTTGGGAAGGAAGGCTTCTGAAGAGATAGAAGAGTATGTTTCCCGTATTTCTCATGGTGACCTTTCTCAGCAGTACATGACTGCTAGTTGTTATTGGTTCAGCCTGTGTTGAATAGAGGAATTTTTAAAAAATTGAATCTGGCCATGGTAGACTGGAATTGTGTATATTGGATCAAGAGTTTGGGTAATACTGCCTCCTCCACTGAAGGTCTGAACTGTGATGGCATCAATGCCATGTTAAATCTTTCACTGTGGCTTTTAACACTGTATGCCCAAGTTTGGTGTACAAACCTCAAAGCAGTGCCAGCTTTGGAAGCCTGACCTTCTCCTAAGATGTCAGAAGGAAGGGAAAGCCAGGTGTGGTGCCACACACCTGTAATCCCAACTACTCTGGGAGCTGAGGCAGAAGTACTGCAAGTTCAAGTCCAGCCTGGACAACTTAGTAAAACCCTGTCTCAAAATAAAGAAAAAGGACTGAGAGGTAGTGGTAGAGTGGACCCCGGGTACCACTCTTCTGCAAAGGAAGAAAGCTTCTAGATAAAGGTGACCCCCCCCCAGTCTCACACCTCTCTGAGCAGGGGACACTTCCATGTCATAGTCTGTGTGACGCTGCCTTCTGTGACAGTGTGTCACACCCTGTGAGCCATACAGGGCAGACTCAGTTCCCCAGTTAAGTGTGACCAAGACAATGGAGGAAAATAGGTACAAGGACATTTTGTCTAGTAAAAAAGAATGGATATGATAAATAATAATAAGGCCATTCCTTTCTGTGTTGAAACTCATTTACATCTGTCCTTTTCTTCTTTTTTTGAGCCAGTCACCGTCTCAGACAGCAGAGCCTGGATGGATCAGATGATGGAGGTAAGGTGCCCTTAGAGAATGTCAAAAGGGTTTCTAGAGAGACCCTAGAGCCCCCCAAGAATTTCTTGGGCTGCAGCCCCACTGAAAACCTGTGTGGTGGTCTCATCACATATGCCAGTTCACTGTCCATCCCTTGCTGGGTACTCTTGCCTCTGCCTCGAGTACCTCATGCTCTTCATTTCCTAGCCTTACTTGACCTCAGCTGAAGTAGTATCTCCTGGCATCCTTCCTTCCTATCCTACTCCCTCTCTGGCTCAGATATTCTTTGTCTCTGCTCCTGCAATCTCCCCAGCAAACCTCCACTGTAACAACTAGAACCAGGGCTGGGGATTTAGCTCAGTGGTTCCGCTGCCTGCCTCGAAAGTGCAACTGACCCGAGTTCAATCCCCTGTACCCCCCCAAAAAAGCACTAGAACCGTTTCTAAGCGGGTGTTAACTATATGCCAGGCATCAGCTCTGGCAGCTCTGCCAGTATCTCTATGTTAAATCATCAACTCTCACCACAACCCTGTAAGGTAATGCCATTGTCATCCCTATTTTACACTCATAGAAACTAAGGCACTGAGAGGTTAAGTTGCCTCAAGTCACTGCACTTCTAGATGACCAGAGCCAAGATTCCAGTCCAGTGAGGAAGTATCACACTTTATTCTTCGTTGGCTTATTTTCTACCCAGGCTCTGATCTCCTTGACAGCAGATCCCACTTCTTATTTATCTTTGTATCTCAGCGTATGACACATAGTAGCCCATTAGTATTGATTCTGTAGATGAGAGGGAAACAGGACTGAAAAGGTCAGCAGCTGTGTCTCAGCACAAGCCTAAGTTCAAGCCTGAAAAGATAAATTCTGTGTGTATCTCTAAAAAGAAGTCTACTAGAGTAGAGTTTATGGTTGGGACCAGTTATGGTTTGGATATAAAATCCCCGCAGAAGTCTTTTGTGTTCAGAGATAAGGCTTTTGGAAGGAAATTGAATCATGAGAACTCATTTCCTCAGTGGATTAATCCATTGATGAGATCATCGTTTGATGGCATTATTGGGAGGTAGTAAGAATTTAGGAGATGGAGCCTAAAGGGAGTGGATCATGGGAATATGACCTTGGGACTAATTCTGGGCTCTGGCCCTTCTTTCCTAGTTCTTTCCCTTTATCTCTGCTTCTTGACCACACAAGGTGATCACTTTTCATTTCCATGCCCTTCCTCTGTGGCGTTCTGCCTTGTCACAGGCCTAAAGTAATGGAGCCAGGCAGCCATGGACTGAAACCTCTGAAATCATAAGCCAAAATCAGTCTTTAAGTTATTTTTCTCAAGTATTTGGTCACACAAGACTTAATTTACTAAAGCTTTTTATTTTTTATTTTTTTAGACCCATATATTTATCATTTCCATACTCTTATTCCTTTGCGTAGTTGGGGTTTTTGTTTGTTTGTTTTTGCTTTGTTTTGTTTTTTGTTTTGTTTAGAGACAGTCTTGCTATGTAGTTCAGGCTGGTCTTGAACTCCCGTCCTCCTGCCTCAATCTCCCAAGTGCTGGGATTACAGGCATGCATCACCACACCCAGCACTCCTTTGTGTAGTTTCTATCTGGTATCAGTGCCTTGCTACATTACCCAGTCTTATTTCAAATTTATGATCCTCCCACCTCAACCTTCTGAGTAGCTGGGATTACAGGCATGTGCTTGACCTGGCTTGACATTAAAGACCCCTCTAAGGGCAGGAGCCATGTCATTCCAAAGGGGTTTCAAGGAAGAAAAGTAGTCACAGAAGGTCAAAATATCAGTCACACACTCATCATTCTTCAGCATTTTCTTTGCTTTCCAGCCTCATTTCTTCTTGCCAGATCTTCCTTTTTAGTTCTACCCACTAAACTCTGTTTAGCTTCTAGACTTCTCTACCCACTGATTCACAGTGACCCTTTTAACTAAGGAATCTGCCCTTCCTTTTCCCAGACACTTACCTGGAATGTCTTCTGCTAGGCTGAACTGGTAGCTCAGGGATTGGTAGCTGCTGGTCACACTTGTGATTTGCCTGTCCTCGCAGATGGTCAGCTGCTGCAGCCATTGGGTGCATGGGACAGGAGGATGTGCCAAGGGACTTGAGGGGACGGGGTCTCTACAGGGTGTAATTAACATGGGTGAGCGGAGAAGAGGGTGCGGTGCAGTGTGCATGGGAATTGTACTATCGGAGCAGTGGTCCACAGGTCAGACCTCAGTGAAGGAGGTGTGATGAAGTAGGCAGTATGTAGCCAGTCTGTAGCTAGTCTAAGTGGTTTGAGGAGGAAAAACACAGCAAGTTGTTGCCTGCAATGGATGTCTTCCGTCTCCTGTTGGCTTATGTATTTTTTCCAAACACCAAGAGTCTTGTGTTTTAAACAGGAAAACATTAAATTTAGGAAAAAAGATGATAGACTTCTTTAGCAGAAACTTCCAAATTGAAACACGAGAAAGCAGTTAAATTCATGATCTTGTTAAAGGTTTGCTTAAGTGGTAACCTTCTCCAGGCTTTTCCCTACCCTGTCTTGAACTTCTTTCTAGCTCCTTTCCAAGGATCTCTGAAATCTTCCTCACTCCACTTTCCTCTTATGGAAAAATACTTTACTTCAAGGAGTAACTTTTCAGTGTTGCAGCAAAACTCTGAATGCCAGAGCTCGCACACATTATAAATGCATGCTATTAGGGCTGTGCTGGCTGCCATTGTGCGTGGTCACTTTAGAAGGACATTTTTGCAGTTCAAGGATCTCTGTAGGCCACCATGGGCCACACCTGCCACTCCATAAGAAACTGAGGCTTAGAGATTATATACAGGAAAGTAGGACTCAGCGAAATTCTGGTTTTCTGACCCCCACAAGAACACTTGCTCTTGTGTGTAGCATCATCATTATTACCAAGTATTCATCATGTGCCAACTACCAAGCCTGGTGTTTTACATTTTCTCCCACTTAATTTTTAAAACAACCTATGGGAAAAAATTTTTTTTGTAAGTTAGCTTCATGGAGGTCTGATTTGTGTACAGTAAATCTTGTGTATTTACTGTGTGCAATTTAAGCCGGGTATGGTGGCTACACTTGTAATCCCAGCTCTCTGGGAGCCTGAGGCAGGAAGATTGCAAGTTCAAGTTCAGCCTGGTTAACTGGCAGCATAGTTAGACCCTAGCTCAAAACAGAAAGGACTAAAGATGTAGTTCAGTGTGAAGGCTCTGGGTTCATTTCCTAGGACTACATAAACAAACAAGTGAATGGACACTTTATAACAAATACTGGTGAGACAGCGGTGGAAAAGGAACCCTCCTGCATTGCCAGTGGAAATGTACACTAGCACAACCACTGTGGAAATCAGTATGGGGATTCCTGAAAAAACTGCGACTAGAAGTACCATTTAACTGCAGGTATTCCCCTCATAGGCACATCCCTGAAGGATTTAAAGACATCATGTTAGAGTGATACGTGCATACCAGTATTTCTAGAAGCCCAGTTCACAGTAGCTAAAGCTTGGAAGCAACCTGCACATCCATCAAAAGATGAACAGGTTAAGCAAATGTACTTACATAAAATGGAGTACTACTCTGCTATAAAGAAGGGTAAGTTTGAGTCATTTGTAGAAAAATGGATGCAACTTGAAAACATAATGTTAAGTGAACTAAATCAGCCACACAAGCTTAAATACCATATGGTTTCTCTAATATGAGAAATACAAAATATAAATAAAGAGCAAAGTAAAAGTGATAAAAAGAAACAGGGATAGGTCTTTCACAAATGGGAAGGTGCCCAAGAGATGGAGGGGTGGGGAGAAGAAGGGGAAGTAAAAAGAATTAAAATGTGTCCTGTACAAGCACCACTTCCCTTAAAGGAGTGTAATCATTATGTGTCACAAACGTGAACTAAAACACGACAGCGAAAGAAAGTAAGTGAAGGGGATTTAGAGAGCTGGAGGGAGGGCAGTGGGAAGGGCGGGAAAGATAATTAAGGTATGCTGAGCACATCTCCTCCCTAAGATGAATGTAAACATTTTGTGCACCACAAAGATGTACCAAGAAAAACATGTACAGTTTGAGCTTTGGAAGGTGTGAATACCCTGTGAAATTACCACACCACAGTCGCTATATCCAGAACATTTCTGCCACCCCCCAAAATTTCCTTATGCCCCAGTCCATCCCTGCTCTGCTCCTGGCCTCCAACAACTACTGAGGTGTGTTACTGTTTCGTTTTCTAGAACTGTATGTAAACAGAAGCATAAGGAAGTACACATTTGTGCCTGGCTTTCTTCACGCAGGGTCAAGAGTTTGAGATTTATCCAAGTTGTTGCCTGTATTATTAATTAGCCTGTTGATTTTATTGCTGAGTTGTACCCCGTTGTATGAACCTACCACAGTGTGTTCACTTGTTCAGAGACAGATGAATTGGCCATCATCCCCATTTTAAAGATGAGCAGACTAAGGCAAAGAAAGAAAGGCAGCCTTGCCCAAGGTCAGATAACTGGTTAATGGCAGCGCCAGAATTCAGAGACAGATCTTGACCCCAGAGCTGTGGTCCTCAGCTTCTATCATGATGCTGGTGTCCCCTTCCACAGGTTGGCTATATTAATGTCAGCTCCCAGATGTGTAATAGATGGATGGAATGCTTAGTAAAGTTTCATTAAAATGGGAAAAAAAGATACCAATTTTCAGAAAATACCCCCAGTGTTTTTTCCCTTCATAAACTTGAAATGTGAAATTTGTGGCTTGGCCTTATTTTGGCCCTGGAGGTTTGGAGCATGAAACCCTTTCTGACAGAGTGTACTTGCTTTTACCGCTAGGAGGGACACCTCTTCCCCAGCATAAATCTGTTGTCCGTGCAGTTATGCTTGCGTCCTTTAATGGAAAATCAGTTCATATGTTACACTTCACACTCGACTTGGCCCATTTCACTGTATGTGAATGTTTAGAATCCATTATGCAGTAAGAGTCATATGTTACGTATAACTAGTTTCTAGAATTATCTTTGCTCAGAGAATTACTTGGTTGGCTAGTGA